CAGCCACACGGGCCTCGCAAAGGTGGGCACCGCATTCATTTCAGCAGCCATGAGGCGCTCAGACCGGTCCCCGGTGCAGGGAGAGCGTCACGGAACGCGCGAGCAGCTGCCAGCAGTGCAGCGGTACCCGCACTGCATCCGCAGCCAGGAGCAGGCAGCACTGTCCCTGGCCGCGGGTTCACTACCATGTAACCCCGTAAACCTCCTCTAAACATCTCCCAGCTCTGCCCCGAGAACGGGCCACCAAAGTGCCTTGTGCCAAAAAGCACATTTTTTTAATTTCACAGCACGACTTCAGTCTGGCATGGTTCCTGACCCAGAGGAGCTTCCACACAGACACCAAATTCCTCCACCGGGCAATCCAACCCGCAGGAAGAGTCATCAGATAGAATTCAAGGGCACAGATACTTTCAAACGATAATATAGATTAAAAGTGCATAGGACTGAATTTAAAATGGAAGAAAAACTCCTAGAGAGCATCCTGATCACTCTCCCTGTGAAGAACACCTCCATTTTAGGCAAAAAAAAAAGAACGTGTTTTAAAAGTGGTCCAAGAGAAGCTGATGGTGTCCCTTGGCCATCTCGCGTTTTGTACGGCAACTGATGGAGTCTTCACTAATGACCCTTAATGCATCAAGACCGCTGCAAACATCAGGCACTTTGCTATCGAGATGGTGCCTTCACACCGCTCAAAAAAAATCCCTCCGCTGCCCCTGAACAATCCTGAACCTGCTCAACCACGAGCCATCCTGCTAACAGCAGCAGAGACCGCACCTGCTGTCAGCGTAGGGCGTGTGTACCTGGGATGAAATGCTCCTTTTTTGTTTGAAAATTATTTCCTTCAGTTATTTCAGTGTTCTTTTAAACAGCTATTTGTGTTTCGTGATTTATGACTGTGGCACAGGTGGGCAGTGCTGTGATTTGTGCACGTGCGGAGCCGTTTCCAGAGCTGCTCAGGCTAGCTGCTCACGGGTACCCCATGCCGCAGGTCACCCTGCAAGATGGCTCTGTCACTTCAGTAGGCTTCACTCTTTGAAATGTTCTCCTCGTTAATTGTTCTAAAGCTCTGGGTTTAGTACATATTTTAACACACTACTCTGGTTGTTCACAGACATTTGATTATTTTTTTTCTCCGTACAAGAGCTACCTGGATCTGTAAGCACCGGGAGCTCTGGAAAGACGGACCGTTTCCTTTTGGGCATCTTCCCGAGCGCTAAAGCGATTCTGAAAAGTTCATCTCACCCGCACAGCTGAAATACTTTTGAGGAAACAGCCCTAAATCAGCATACTATTTAAAACTACTTTTACTCCACTACCATTGGTTTCAGAGACCTTATCCTGCAAATACAGCAAGAGCTGACTGCAATGGACAAAATGTTTCCTTTTCCCAGCTAAAAAAATTAAATCCTAGATCGGTCCTTTTTAACATAAGGGTTTTTTTTCAAGTTATGTTCTACAAGAACAAATGCTGGATCTTATGTTCACAAATCTTTTGATGCTCAAGTCAGCATCACCCTTTGGATCATACAGTTGTAACAATAACCTCTCAAACAGCTTAGAACATACGCATCTGTTGATAAACCTGGTCTAGTTTATGCAGTCGGAGCACATAAGAATTAAACCTATAAGATGACTTTGATTATATGTCAGAAAGCGCACTGGAGAAAAATCTACTAGCAACCTAGTAGAAATATTCTTCACCATTCAGCTAACAGACCATGCAAAGATTTCATTATTTACCACAGCAGGAGTGACTAAAAGTTATGCAAACAGGTAAATTGCATTAGAGCCTATTTACGGGGCAATCAGCATCCATAAAGAGCCCATAATGTCCTGGAGTGCGCGTGTCAGGCTGAAACATGGAGCACTGATACTACTGACCACCCCACTCAGTAAAAGTTTAACCCACTCTTCCATGCAAGAGCCCCAGTTCAAGAGATTTCACATCAAAGATGGATTTTAAATACCGTAATTAGCTAACAGCTTACTTCCACAGAGCTGCGTGTGCTACATCGAATTTTTGCAAAGCTTTGCTACTCTGGAGACATTTCTGGGCTTTATTTCCATGGACCGCCTCGATTTAGAAACATTTAAAGAACCGTATTATTATGAAAGGTATAATTTTGGCTATTAAAAATATTAGACTACTGTATTCAAACGTTGTGGACCACAGAGTGGGGCAGAATTCTCAAAATGCCAGAACATCAGTGAATTTTGAAAAACCACCCTGCTTTTTACAGCATGCAGTATTATGGAAATATGATTAGAGATGTTAACGCTTTTCACCAACCTGGTGCTGTTACAGAAATCCATATGAAACCTTTGAACAGGCTGCATTGGCTTCATGCAAGGACATCAGCGCTTTAAATTTACATTTTAACAGGTCCCTAGGCCGCCACAGCTGACAGCAAACAGTGATCCAGTCCTGAGCACAGGGACATTTCAAACTTGAATTTTAAGTGCCAAAAGCCAGGGTGGCAGAAAGCACGGTACCCTCCTGAAGAAGTCATGGGCACTGCTCCAGCATACAGCCTCCGCACCAGCTCCCCGCTCCTGAACACCGCAGCGGTGGCTCCCGGTTGCGTGGGCATCCCCAAATCCTCCGGCACAGCGAGGAGGGCTGCGCGGTGCCACACTGCGATGAGAAACGAACCTTTCTGCCAGGTTTCGACTGTTTTCCAAGAATTACTTTTGTTAAAGCTTCCCCCTCAAACATCAAAAGGCACTAAAAAAAAAAAATGTTACCAGTGACAGATTGGCAAGATGTTGTTTAAAAATATATACTTTCTCAGTTTAGGTGGAATTTCTCCCATTCCATCCCTATATATCTATCGGAAAAGTATTGCCTCCATTATTTTTCCTACTAACTGTTAAAAAGAAAAATTGTCCCTTGAACGATATATTCAATGAAAAAATGAACAGAGTAACATAACACCAAATCCTAACTATAATATTGTATATGAAATCAAGACAATAAAAATAAAAGTTAATAAAAACTGACTAGATGCTTTTGTTCATAATATACCTGCTTAGTGGCATTTTGCTTAGATAATGATAAATATAGTATTTAAAAATGCATTTTACCAACAGTCCCTTTTCAGATTCCTGCGTAAAAATATGTAAAAAGCTGGATTAAGTTTGGTCTTTTACTTTGTTCGAGGACACAACATGCGGTTTCTCTTGCAAACAGGCTTTAACCAATACCAGCTATTTCCAACACGCTTGGGGTTTGACTGGGATAACAAGCGCAACAGCGAAAGGTATTTTTACACTGCCGTGGTGTTTTAAGCTCCGTTCTGCGATTAGCCTAGGGTCTAGTTTACTTTAGAAAACCAAAGCGAGTCATTGACTTGCTGCAGGAAACACAAACGCCGGGGCAGGAGCTGCCCCTTCCAGCGGCCAGACATGAAGCTGGATGCCGGTGCTCTGGGTTGGGCACCGAAATACTGAACCACGTGATCTGAGGTAGACCAAAAATAAAAATAATATCACACGTCAAAAGATGAGCAGAAGAATCCATTCCCCAGGGATCTCCGTCAGGCTTTGGAGTCCTCCTGCACACAGAGCTGTGAAATCGTCTTCTTCACACGCAGCGCGGTCAGCCGCGCGGCACCGTTGGCATACCAGCACTCGCGCATTATCCTGCCCATTACTCGCAGCGCCTGCACAGCAGAAATTAAAAGAGCAGGTCAGGAATAAAACCGTCGCCCCCTGCTTTTAATTTTTTAAGTGCAATACTGGAAAATAAAATACAGGTCTCTGAAAGGGTAATAGAGCAGCAGCGTCACAAATTCAGACCTGTATTCGAGAGAGTGCAGCACTTGGCGCAAAGACAGTTCTCTCTGTCGGTCTGGGAGCAGAAGCAGAGCTAGACATCTGCAACACATTTCAGTTCAGGAGAGGCTGGACATCGAGTTCCCTTTGTCTCACTGAAAAATCCTGTCTTAATTTAAATATGCTTTGTAATAAACTGGAAAACTGTTTTTACCTCACAGCTTTGCCACTGGTTTGGAATATTTGGTCTGAGCTTCTGCTCGCAAACTACCCTTCTCATGTCTTCTATCGAAGGATCAGAAGGCACAACATCATAGTAAGGCAACTGGTATTCCTCAGTGATCCCTAGGAAAGATTTATTGGGTACGTTACACAAAATCCAAAATAGCTGCTCCAGAATAAACTAATTGTTTTTACAGGCAATGAGAGAGAACAGAGGAACGCTTGGGGCCACCTTGAACAACTGCTCCACAGCACGCTTCTACCGCCATGTACTGCCACGATAAATGAGAGTGCTTTTGTTTTATTTAAGATAAAAGCGGTCTGGACTGCAAAATGGAAAGGCCGGAAACCTCACCTCCAATGGAGCACCTTCGGGCGATCTCCCAGTACACCAGCCCAAGAGAGTACATGTCTGCACGCTTGAAGGACTCGAAGATGTTCATGTTCATCACATCATCAAGTATCTCAGGAGCCATGTACCTTTAAAGCACACAAAGGTCACTTTGCTAGAGGGGGTTCATACAGAAGACTGCCGCCGCATGCCGGGAAGCAGCCGGTCCTGCCGGGAAAAGGGAAACTCCTTTTGACAGTGATCCCGAGTGGGAGCAAGAGAGTTGGCCTGGGTGCTGAACACAACGCTGAGAAAGCCCGAGGCAACGCTTTGTGCTGCGCAGAGCAAGCGCTTCCTGTGCACTAAGCCACCTGGAACCCCATCGACAGCCAGGGATGGGTTGCCGGTAGAAACCCAGCACGTGCTCCATCAGAGGCACTGGTCTGCAGCTCTGCTCCGCTGCTCACCTCGCCCTCGGCCGCCAACCGCCGTGCTGTCAGAGGCAGGCA